GCAAGGTGTGGTTGCGACTTTGTGTTGTGAGGTGCGGTGTGGTCTAGGAAATTGCTTGGAAATTCTGTCTGTAACCCTGATGCACAAGTTGTGTGAGATGAATACGGAAGCGGCAAGTTGAACTGCAGATGAGATGCAAGAATGAAAGCAGTAGATTTACAATGCTTTACAACAAGGCATACAGAACAAATTGCACATTGCTTAGCTAGCAACACTGCTGACTTCACTCAACGGTCCTAGCTGTTACAAGGACTAGGTAGCTAGGAACGGTAGGGAGCCATGAAAATGGCGTGAGGGTTTTAGGCTAGGAAAGTTGACGAGAGAAAAGGGGTTGAGAATAAAAGAGAGAGGGATACAAGGAGGAGGGTTGTACCCTCTACAGTAGGTTTCAATAACACCTACCAAGCCTACCAATTATATAACAAAATATATAATTTAACACACCCCCTAGGCTTGGTAGTAGAAGAATCCACACACACCCACACCCCCTAACCTAGCACCCCCCATGCCCAGCAGTAGCCGCGATGACTCCGGAATCAGTCAACACCCACGGCCCGGAAGATGGCAATGGCGGCGGCGGCGGCAGTGATGAGAGCGATGGCGGCGGCGGCGTGCGGCGGCAACAGGCCAGCGGCAACAGCGGCGGCGACGGCGGCGGCTTCAACTTCAGAGGCGACTGCACCGGCCCCCGCCCTCTCAGCGGCATGGCCAATCTCCGCGGCGATGGGGAAGGCCCTCACGAGGCAGGCGTCGGCTGTGGCAAGGAAGAGGGGACGCAGGGGAAGGAGAGGGGGGGGGGGCGGGGCGTGGTCCAGAATCACGCCCGTGGCTGGCGAGCGGGCGGCAAGTCTAACGGCGCCACAGGCGTTGCGCGGTCGGCTGCAGCCCGATGGCGCCGTCACAGAGCGGCGTCGGTGCCGCGGCGGGACATCGACGCTGCGACGGCAGCACGACGACGCCGTTACGCCGCCACAGCTGGACGTCGACGCCACGACGGCGCGACGCCTGGGCAGCGCGTCGAGACGGCCGCGGTATCAGAATTGAAAATTGAATGATGGATAGAGTGAGAGTACACAAAGATATACCTAAGTGTTGTACTCTCTAAGAGGCGACCCTATACAGTCTATACAAATACACATATTTGACACACCCCCTAGACTGCATAGGGGAATGCCCTAAACAAACAGCTCAGGGCGGCACTACTAGTCCAACCTCTGAGACAAGGGTCTAAGAGACCAGTCAGAAGGAGTACAAACAAGGCAAGAACAAGAGTAGGGCGGCACTACTAGTCCAGCCACTGCGAGAGGTCACAAGTCCAGTCTGAGTATACGTATAAAGGACAGTACAAAGTCAAGGTCCTAGCAAGTGAGAGGCTACAGGAACTAGACCAAGCTGTACACAGTGCCGCTGATGATCTTTAGGCGCAAGCGCCTTCGTAAAGATATCAGCCGTGTTGGCACCTGAGGCCAAGTGTACTACGCGAGCCTGACGTCGCTGCTGTAGCTCACGCAGGAGGAAGTACCGCAGCTGAATGTGCTTTGCTCTGCCCTCAAGTCGAGGCTCCTGACACAGGAGGATCATGGCCCTGTTGTCAGCGAACAGGACCGGGGCAGAGCTAGGCCGCTCACCTAAGTCAGTGAGCAAGAAGGTCAGCCAGCGGAGCTCCTGTGCCGCCATGGCACCAGCGTAGATCTCAGCCTCACAGCTGGACTGCGCTACAGACGAGGAGCGGGTAGCTCTCCACGAGACGGCAGCTGAGCCAAGGCTGAAGCAGTAGCCCTGGGTAGACCTGAGTGTCTCAGCGTCGTCTGCCCACGAAGCGTCTGTGTGTCCAGTAAGGACCACTGGCTTGCGTCCTCCTAGCACTAACCCCATGCCCGATGTACTAGCAAGATAACGCAGAACCCTCTTAGCGGCAGACCAGTGCTGCGGTCGGTGTCTGCCTGTGGCCACAAAGCGAGCCAGGATGCTGAGAGGGTATGCGAGATCTGGGCGAGTGCAAGTCATCAGGTACATGAGGCAACCCACCAGCTCTGCGTAGGGGCCGCTGGGCTCTACCAACTCCTCAGACACTGGAGCGGAGAGTCTGTGGTCTACAGGCAGAGGGGTGGGCTGTGCAGAGGAGAACTGAAGGCTGAACCTCTGAAGGACCTGGCGCACCAAGTGTGACTGAGTCAGGGTGATGGTGCGCGATGCTCTGTCCCTGGAGATCTGCAAGCCAAGGTAACGGCGCAGTTCTCCAAGGTCAGTGCACGTGTGTCTCTTCAGAAGCTCTGCCTTCACGGAGGCCAGTGCATCCCTGTCTGCTGTGGCAAAGACCAGGTCGTCGACGTAAACAAGGATGTAGAACGGAGTCTGGCCAGCACGAACGAAGAGTGAAGGGTCTGCGGAAGACGGAAAGAACTGCAGGCCAGCAAGGGTAGCACGAAGAGTGTCGTGCCACTCACGAGGAGCCTGGCGCAGGCCGTAGACGGGGCGCCGCAGGAGCCACTGGGTCCCAGGAGGGAAGGTGCCAGTAAAGCCCGGAGGGCGACGCAGGTAGACCTGCTCGTGTAGGCTGCCCTGAAGGAAGGCAGTGGAGAAGTCGAGGGAGTGAAGCTCGTAGTCACGCTGAGCCGCTAGGTGTAACAGAACCCGAAGAATAGTCATCTTCGGGGTCGGAGCGAAGGTCTGGAAGAAGTCCACCCCCTCGCGCTGACTGAAGCCTCTAGCCACATAGCGCGCCTTGAAGACCGGCGGCTCTCCAGGAGGGCGCTTCACCTTGAAGAGCCAGCGGCCATCGACTACGTTCACCCCAGGTGGGGGAACTGCGTCGACGAAGGTGCCGGTGGATCTCCAAGATGCCATCTCCTGCTCCATGGCAGCTATCCACTGTGAGGCCCAGGTTCCCGAAGTCACCTCAGCGTAAGTGCGAGGGGTCGGGATGTCGAAAGCGTCTGGGTCACCCTCAGGGACTAGCAGCATGGAGTAGAGATGGGGAGCAGCCTCGGAGAGGAAAGCAAGCTCGAACTGGCGGTCCTCTAGGACGTCACTACCAAGGGCAGAAGCACCCCCGACAGACGGAGGACAGGCAGGGTCAGAGACCAGAGCGGTGGCGTAGTCAAGGCGGCGGGTAGTGGTGAAGTCAGCGACAGCAGCGACAAGAGTGTCAAGGCACGGGACCGGAACAGACGCGTCGGTAACGAGAGAGGCAAGGACCCGAGGAACAAGAGGACGAGCGGCACGAAAGTAGTCAGACAGCAGGGGGGGTGCAACAACAAGGGAGGACGGAGGAGGCGACGGCAGAAGGGGAGGACGAGACGCGTGGGAACGAAGCAACATAGGGTGGGAGCGCAAGACAGGCGAGGCAGGACGAGCACGGGAGGGGCGGTGAGACCAGACGTGCGACGGAGGGGTCGGGTCAGGAGACAGGGGAGGGGACACAGGAGGGGAACAAGGGGGGAGACGGGCCGGGGACGAGTCCGACGGAGGAAAAACAGGGCCGTAGACAGGAAGAGGAGGAGACGGTGGGGGAGGAACCGACGCAGGGTCGGGGGACGGAAGGCCGAGCAGGCGAAGGGCGGACACCGGCGGGGACTGCTGCTGCGGCGGCACAACGACGACACCTGGACCGCAAGCTGCTCCTCGGCTACCACCAGCACTCTCCACACCCGCACCCCCGGAGGGACCACCCCCAGGGCGACCGGGACGAGCACCCCCAGAGTCAGCGAACGGGTGTTGCGACGGCGGCGGCGGCGGCGGCGACGGCGGCAGCGACAACGACGGCTGCAGCGGCGGCAGAGGCGGTGGAGGAGGGGACTTGGGAGGGGATGCCAGGGGAGGGGCGGCCGGCGAGGACTACACAGGAGGGCCACCAGAGTCAGAAGACTCCGCGGCCGGGTCCACCGACGGAAGGGGGGTGACGTGGGACACACCAGAGGGGGCGGGACGGGGAGGAGGAGGAGGACGGGCAGGGACTACCGGGGAAGGAGTGATCAGGAACAGGGGGGGGGTAACAGGGGGACCACGGTGGGGGAAGCGACGGTAGTAGGAGACGGACTCGTCAAAGGTGACGTCACGAGAGTGAAAGAAGCGGTGAGACGGCGGGTGGTAAAAGTGCCAATCGGACGCGTCAAGGGGAAAACCGAGGAAGACGCAGGGAAGGGTGCGGGCAGTGAGCTTGTCCGTGCCGGAGGCACGGACGTGAGCAAGGCAGCCCCAGACGTGGAACGCAGACGCGTCACCAGGAGACCCAGTCCAAAGACGGGTCGGCGAAACCTGCGACTGCTGAGGGTGCGGCCACAAGTTAAGCTGGTGAGAAGCGTAGCGCACAGCGAACGGCCACAGAAAATGGGGTGCACCGGCATGGATCATGGAGGTGCGAGCCACCTCCATGACCAAACCGATGCGTCGCTCAGCGACCCCATTCTGCTGTGGGGAGTCCGGTAGGGTGAACGTCTGGGTGATGCCCTCCGCACGACAAAAGCGACCAAGGACACCTGAGGCAAACTCGCCACCACGGTCTGAGTGAAGACGCAAGACAGGGAGACCGCGGTGGACACGCGCAGAGACAAGCCAGGGGATGAGAGCGCCAGGCACGTCGGCCTTGCGCTCCAGGGGAAAGACTGTGGTGTAACGAGTGAAGTCGTCGACAAGCACAAGGAAGTAGCGCTCTCGACGCGGCCCAGGGACAGGGACAGGGCACATGTTTGACACGCGGCATGACCCGGCCAGCGGCACGACGACGCCGCCACAGCAGCACTGTTGTGATAATTGAAGTTTTGCATTCCTGCAAGTTCCGTTTACAGTGTAGTTAGCAGTATCGAGCTTCTCAGTAAGGAAACAGGTCCGAGTGATGACGTCAGCATACCGCTTCAGTCACGCGAACAGTCGCGACCCTATAGTATGACGAATAGGTCGCATAGCGCGATAGCGACGAACAGGTACATTAGCGAACAGGTACTTTCCCTAGAGATATAAATCCTTGTAATGCCTTTCTATTATTAACCTTGACTTTACACAGAATTATGTGCTCAGGTTATTCAACCTTCGACTACCCACAAGTTCATGTGCTCAGGTTCACTCCTATAAGACTTCCGCTGTCTTACTAGTCTACCATTCCAGCAAAGATCCTGGACCAACACTTGAGGATTTGCCAAGTGTTTGTGTTTATAGTTTTATACTTAATCTACTACAACACCAGACGATTTATTTCATGGTATGAGAGCTATCTGGAATTAAGACTACCGTCAACTATGACTTGTTCAACACCAGCACCATCTGCTGGATCAGTTACTGGGACTACTGGAGCACATTCCTCCACTACCACCGCTGGTCTCTCAGCCTCTGGGCATTTTCCACCAGCCTACGCTAATATCGGTATGCAGAATCCGCCTTCTGTGAATACTCCAGGTGCTCCATCGACTGCACCTGCAACACAACAGCAGCAATCATAGACAACAGCACAGCAACAAGCGTCAGTCCAGCCGCCAGTTTCAACACAATCGATTTCGTCTGCGTTTAGTGAGATGAGCCTTGACGGCTCAAGCTACTTGCGTGGAGCTACAGCTCCAAGTACTGGTTCTTTCACTTTCTCACCTTTCGTACAGCAGCCGCAGTCGCAGCAGTTTCAGCATCCTTTTTATATCTTCGGTCGTTCTCCTGCTCAACAACCACAGCAAGTACAGCAACAGCAGTATCAACAACCACAGCAAGTACCGCAACAGCACCAGCAACAGCAACAGCAACAACAACAGCAACAACAGCCAGGCGTTGTATTTCAGCCTCCAAATTTACTTAACAATACTCAAATCAAGACAACTGTACCTTTCAATGGTGTTGACTTCTACTCCTGGAGCTTCGAGTTCGAGCTTCTGGCGCAGTCCGCTGGATTATGGTCGTTCTTCACTGGCGAGTTTACGTATCCTGTCGTGGGAACACAACTGGAGCAGCAAAGTTTCTTGCACGCCTCTCTCGGGGCGTACACAGTTCTTGTACGGAACTTGTCGCCGAAAGAGCAACTTGGCGTTCGATCTTTTCACTCAAGTTTCACACCAGCCGAAACTGCATGGAATCATCTGAAGGGGGTATACATGGCAAAGGATACAATAACAGTGAGTAAAATACTTTCGCAGCTGACAAGCGTGCAGATGATGACAAACGAAAACGTCATGGACTATGTCAATCGCGTCCGTACACTACGCGATCAACTTGAAAAGAGCGGAGGATACTTCCCTCGTGAGATGTATCTCACTGTCCTTCTGGCTGGTCTTGGACCCGAATGGCGACAGACGCGTGCCTTCCTGCGCATGAATCCGAACCTCTCCGAAGCTGAAATTTCTTCTTATCTTCAAGCAGAGCAGCAAGATCTTGACCTGCAGTCACAACGCAACAAAAGTGGGGATATACAACTCAGTTTCTATTCAACACCAACTCGACGTCCTCGACATTTCTGTCAAATTTGCAACAAGGGAGGACATTCTACCGACCGATGCTATTTTAACAAGAGGTATTTACCTCCTGAAGAACCGCAGCAGCCGAAATCATCACAGCCGATACGTCAGCCTTCGAAGCCGTTCTTTCAGCAACATGCGCCTCCAAAAGCAACATCTGCAATATCAACACCATCAACGACACTCAGTTCTGCCCCTCCAAGCAACTCATCAAAGCCGGCAGCAAATAATTCAAACTCTGCCAACAAAATGGTAACGTCAAAAATTTTCTTACCGACTTCAAACACTCACATGGCTGGTTGCAATACAGATACCGATACTTGGTACTTGGATAGTTGTTGTGGCCACCATATGGTCTCTTCAACAAATCCTTTCATCTACAATCGTCGTCGACTTCTTCAGCCCTGCCCAATCACACTCGCCAACGGTCAAACAATTGCAGCAGAAAATATCGGCAGTCTACTTTTGACATCAATCGACACGGGCAAGTCTTTATGCCTTACCAGCGTGTTACTCGTCGACAATCTTGGCTTCAAGTTAGTGTCAACTCTTCAACTCTTGAAGAAGAAAATCCGCACGGTCGGAAACTGCACGACACTGGAGCAAGAGTTGATACATGATGTGGACAACACATACATCGGAAAAGCAGCAACAAAAAATGGCGTATTTGTCTTACGGTTCAAAGCCGAACAACCTTCTGAAGATACCGCTCCTCTTCAAGCTCCTTCCATCATCGCAGCAGTAGCTTTGGTCACCACTCCACCGATTGAACTCAGCAGCAGCGAAGAAGAGACTCCGAGTAGCAGCACCACCGACATCTTTGCCGACACACCTGCCGTTAATATCAACGAAGATATCAGTCAAGAACACGAGGAAAATCTGCAAATCGCTCCTGAAAAATTCTTCGACGCTACAACTACTCTCGACAAACCTTCTCACAATTCTTCAACAGCCAGTCTCGAAAAGTCTGCCGAAACATCTTCAACTACCACTCTGCCGGAGAAAGCAAGCGAGCTCAGTACCCCGCTGCAAAATCTCCTATCCTACAGCGACGTCGATTACCACACTACGAGTTCCAACGACTACGAACAAGGCATGGGCATCAACTGCTACCCAACCCCTCGTCATCGCGTTCAAGAAAGCAACGAAGCAGAAGGATTGAACAGTACCCTACATGAGCTACGTGAGCAGCCGCGTCCACTGCTGGTTCAACAAATTGCTCTGCCCGAAACTGCACCATCCGATCTGCCGGTCACTTCACAGTTCTTTTACAAGCCTCCGAATGATATCGCTGCTCCTCTCCACCTTCAATGGCGCAATCCCAACCACTTTCCACCCGACTCCTTTATACTCTGCCGAAGTGAGGGGGGAAGGAGGATCTACACGCACTTCGTCAAAGCCAAAATTCGTCATCAACAAGGGAAGAACGCGATTGGTCTACCATTTGACCAATGGAATGACCGCCGACTACTTACAACACATCAAGTTTACACGTCACAAGATTTTCGTTCGCCGGACTCCAACCACGACGTGACTACATCGAACTTCCAGGATGAAGGGGAGTGTTGTGATAATTGAAGTTTTGCATTCCTGCAAGTTCCGTTTACAGTGTAGTTAGCAGTATCGAGCTTCTCAGTAAGGAAACAGGTCCGAGTGATGACGTCAGCATACCGCTTCAGTCACGCGAACAGTCGCGACCCTATAGAATGACGAATAGGTCGCATAGCGCGATAGCGACGAACAGGTACATTAGCGAACAGGTACTTTCCCTAGAGATATAAATCCTTGTAATGCCTTTCTATTATTAACCTTGACTTTACACAGAATTATGTGCTCAGGTTATTCAACCTTCGACTACCCACAAGTTCATGTGCTCAGGTTCACTCCTATAAGACTTCCGCTGTCTTACTAGTCTACCATTCCAGCAAAGATCCTGGACCAACACTTGAGGATTTGCCAAGTGTTTGTGTTTATAGTTTTATACTTAATCTACTACAACACCAGACGATTTATTTCAAGCACGACGCGGCCGCCATGGCAGCGCGAGAGGGAGAGGAGGAGTGCGCGGCGGAAGCGCTGGGAGCAGGCCCGGGAAGGGGAACCTGCTCTGATATCATGTCACAAGGACAAGGTAGCTAGGAACTGTAGGAAGCCATGAAAATGGCGTGAGGGTTTTAGGCTAGGAAAGTTGACTAGAGAAAAGGGGTCGAGTATAGAAGAGAGAGGGATACAAGGAGGGGGGTTGTACCCTCTACAGTAGGTTTCAATAACACCTACCAAGCCTACCAATTATATAACAAAATATATCATTTAACACTAGCAGCCATGTCAAATGACAAGCCAGGAGGCAGCCAGGATCTTGGGGACAACAATCGAAACAGATTCAAGCAGCTTGCCATCTTTCAAGAGCCGTTGCACCAATGCAGCGTGTCATGTGCACTGCACGCTGCTAACACGGTGTTAGGCAGACTCGACTTGACTCGACTGTACAACGCCAGGCATGCCGGCTGCTAAGCTGCATCAGGTCAGTCAGCTGACAAGGAATTGGTGATGCCGACGGAAAGCAGCTGCTTGGGGCCTTGTATACACCATAGTTCGGTGATGATCTCAAAACCCTCACCAGCATTTTCAGCACATCATCACATGCTCATGATACAGCACGCTAGAACGCCATCATGTCAAACGCATGCAACCATCACATGCCACAGCATCCCTTCCAACACACCCTGCACCTCCCATCACACCCCACCACCGCATCACAGCCCCCAGCCCTGATCGAGGAACTGCCCCACGCCCGCCAGCAGCACGACAGCGCCGTCCTTGAGTGAGCCCAGCACCACCTCCCACAGGCACAGGTCCAGCGCCAGCACCACCGACAGCAGCAGCAGCGCCGCCGTCTGCTGCCGCGTCATGGGCCACCCCGTGGCCTCCGCCATGCCCTTCAACGAGCCGTCCAGGATAGAGGAGGCTTTGGCCGAGAGGCGGGCCAGGTGAGGGGGGAGAGGGGTGGATCGGGAGGAGGTGGATGGGGAGGAGGGGGAGGAGGGTGCGGTGAATGTAGTTGAGTTGGAAGTGTTGCTGGTCAAGGCGGGTGTGGTGAGAGATGGGGATGGGGTGGGCATGGAGGAGGGGCGGTGTGAGGCAGGGCGGGAAAGGAAAGGCAGTCTGAGTTGCGAGGCGGACGCATCCAAGGAAGCGGCTGTTTCCCCAGCAGCAGCAGAAACCGAAGCAGAAGCAGAATCCAAAGCAGCAGAAGCAGCAGAACCGGCAGTATCAGCAGCAGCCGGCGGCGCAAAGGAGGGGGTGGGGATGGACCAGGCAGTGCGCCAGGAGAGGTCACAGGGCTCGAGCCCCAGCTCGGAGGTGAGCCTTAGGTGCATGTCGGGCAGGTGGCCGCTGCCGTAGAAGACAGCGATGCGGCGGCTGCCCACGCGCACGGCCTCGTGCACCTGCTGCATGCACGCCCTGTTGCGCTCGCCGATTATCACCGACGACGCCATCACCCCCGCTGCACCGTCCAGTGTGCTGGGAGGGGGGCAGGGAGAGGGGTGGGGATGAGAGAGTGAGTGGGGTTGATGAGAGGAGGGGGGGGAGCAGAGAGTGAGCTTCTGTGTTGCATGCCCTGTTGCGCTTGCCTATGATCACTGATGACTCTATCACCCCTGCTGTGCTGTCTAGCGTGCTGGGAGGGGTGCATGGAGAGGGGTGGGTGGAGGACGAGAGAGTGAATGAGTGGGGGTGAAAGGGAGAGCGAGCATATTGCCAAGTGAGCTTGTGTGTTGCGAGTCTTCCAGCGCAACACCAGTACGCCCCACTCGGAAACAGCTTCATGCGTCCCATGCATCACCCCCATCCCCGCACCTCCCTCCACCATCATTCCCTGCAGATCCTCTCTTCACTCTTTCCCCCCATCCTTACTGACTGCCACTTCCCCTCTATCCCCACCAACACACCCCTTCTTCCCCCCCCACCTTTCCTCCCCTCCCCCCTCCCACCACTCACTCCAGGGTGATCTGTCGGGCCAGCACCACTTTGAGCGCAGCCGACAGGTCGAGATTGAGCAGCGCCTGGAACTCGGCGCCCTTGACGAGGTTGCTGCTGCCGGGGCCCTCGGGCGCGCACACGCCCTCGATCACCAGCAGCCCCACCAGTGGCATCGGCACGAACCGCGCCGCCCACAGGAGCGAGCGGCGCAGCGGGCCGAGGTTGGGCGCGAGGGGGCGCGCGGCGGTGGCGCGGACGATGGCCTTGGTGGAGCGCAGCGCGACCTCGCGCGCGAAGGAAAACATGCTCTCGCCTCGCTCCTCCTATTGGGGTTGGGAGGGTGTGGGGGATTGGGACGGGGTTGGGAGGGGTGACGCAAGGGGGAGGGGGAAGGGGGAAGGGAGGGACGATGAAGGGGGGTTCAAAGGAGGTGAAGCGTTGTGAGGAGAAGGAAGACGTGGTGGGTACCGGGAGGCAGTGGCAGACGGGAAGGTAGTGAGACACGAGAGGTCAAGCGAAATGAGAGAACTAAGAGCCCCCAAACGGAGAGAGATTGGGTGGTGCGATGGGAGGATGGAAGGCGGGGGATGGGTGGTGCACGAGAGAGCGAAAACGAAGGAGGTGGGTGGGGAAGGGGAAGGGGAGGTGGGAGGGGGATGCGGGATGCGGGACATTAGGAGAGGAGAGAGACAGGTGGGGAGCCAGCAAAAAGCGAGCGTGCGTGCCTGCAGTTGCATGAAGGTGGCGAGGTCGAGGTCTGCGTGGTAGAAGTTGTGGCGGCGGTAGTCCATGCGGTCCAGCTGGAACGACAGCCGCAGCATCGCCGACATGCCGCTCTGGATCGTCCCCACCACGCCGCGCCGCCTGCCGTGCCATACCGTTAAACACGGGGGGAGGGCGTGGGAGAGGGGGAAGGGGGAGGGACGAAGGGGAGATTTGCTTTGGGGAGAGGTGGAGAAGCGAGGGAGAAAGCAAGGGGAAGGAGGGCGCTTGCAGTAAGGGAGATGGGTGAGTGCAGCAGGTAGCGTATGGCCGCGCTAATAACGGGTGCAGCATGGGCCCCTGTGGCATGTGCGGGCAGACGAGCGCAAGGTAGGCTGGGTAGAGGACAACTGAGCGGGGCGCGGGGAAGAGGAGAGAGGGGAGGAGGGGACGGAAGGGTGGGAAGGAGGGAGAGGTGCGAGGAGAGTGAGGGCAGGGAGGGGTGTGCAGAGAAGAATGGAGGGAGAGGAGGCGAAGGGGAGTGGGAGGAGCAGTAGTGGGTGAAGCGGCTGTGGCGAGCGGTGCTGCTGATAGGGGTCGCCCTGGTGGCGCCTACACACGGGTCTCGTCCACCCATCACTCCTCGCACGCCGTCCACCGCATCACACCCCTATTCACCCCATCCGCCAACTCTTCCTCCACACAACACCACCACCCCCCCCGCTCCCCCCCCCCTGCCTCCCGCTCGCCGCGTATCCCACGCGCACCTCCTCTTGGGGTTTCTCTTGGGCGGCATCCATCGGTCGCTCTCCTTCCGCCCCACGAACCGCCGCCATCGGCTGTCCCGTCGCTCCGCGTCGTCAGCACCACCATCGCCGCCAGCGGCCCTCGCAGCAGCGCCAATCGAAGCAGCGGCGGCGGAAGCGGCGGAGGCGCGCTGCTTGTCGGCGACCATCTCGTAGAGCACGCGGTCGTACGTCGCTAGCTCCGCCTGCAACGCGTCGTAGTAGCTGGCGCGAGGGGGGGGGGGGAGGGAGAACAGAGGGGGAAGTGAGAAGGGAGAAGCCGCTACAGGTGGCTTTTAAAAGCGGAGTCACCGCTTGACGGTGAGAGGGAACGAGGGAGGGAGGGAGGGAGGGGGGAGAGGGCGCGGGGTGTGGCGCGAGGCGGGAAGACGCAAGCAGGAGGCAGCAGAGTCGCGGGAGGGGGAGGGGGAGGGTGCGAGTGGCTTACTCTTGATCGGCAATGTGCACCACCGACACTAGATCCACCTGATGGCCACGCACATGCACACATGCACACATGCACATACATCCGCACGCAAACAGGCACGCACGGAAACCACACACGCCCATTTGCGTGGGGGACGGAAATAGGGGAGAAAGTCAGTCAAGAGCTGAGCTTGGGCCGACGCCATGGCCTGCTAGCCGCTAGGGGTTGAGCCGCGTGGTAGCAGCCACCACCGCGTCGTCTGGTCTTTAGCGTTAATAACGTGCTTAATGGCTGCAATGGAAGACGCAGAAACGCTATCCCAGGTGGCAGTTAACAGCGATTAGGTCCTTGCTTCTCGTCAACGCCACTCGCCGGCGCTTCTTACGGTAGGCCTTTCTCCTCCACAGTGCCTACTCTATCCGTTTCTTTCCCTTCACACTCCTCCCTCCCACTCTCCGCTCTCCCCTCTTGTCCGAATGCTCCCTTCCTCCCCTCTTCTTTTCCTTCCCCCAACCCAGCTTCCCCCGCGTCCCTCACCACAAGCCGCAACCCGCAAGCGCCGCACCATAATCCCCTCTCCTCCCCTCCCCGCCCCTCCCCGCCCCTCTCCGCCGGCTCACCTGCAGCGGCGGGCGCAGCGCGTTCCACCAGCGGGCGGGGCGGCGGTACGAGAGCACGGCGGTCTGCAGCTCGACGCGCTGCGCGGCCTCGTCCTCGTGCAGCCGCAGGAAGTCCGCGATCGACCTCCCCATCTCGCCGCGCGCCTCCGACTTTTCCCCGTCCGCGTCTTCCCCTCCCGCTCTGTCTATCTCCCCCTGCGCCGAAACCCCGCCTGCCCCCTCCGGCGCGTTTCTGTCGAGCCGTTCTGCTCCAATCGGGCTCTCCGCGGGCGGCGCACGCCATCCGCGGAAAATCCCCGCGCGCGAGACGTCTCGTCGTTGCCACCTGTTCCGGCTCGCTGAGCGCGAACCCGCGCTGGTTGACTCGTTGGCCGCTGCGGGGCGCGCGGGGGAAAGGCGGCAGCCAACCCGCGGAACGGTGAGGCGCGCGGGCTTGGCGCAGGCGGAGCGGGGAGGATTTGGCGCAGAGCGAGGTGTGCGGGGGGGGAAGAAAGGTGATTGGGAGGATGAAACGGCATGTGGCGGGCGGGAAACTAGGAGTGACGATGAATGCGACGCCATGGGAAAGGGGCGGAAGTGAGGGAATGCGGGAGTGGTTGGGGTCAGAGGCACTGGCGACACGACGCCTGGCGGTCCTGGCGATGGACTGGCCTCGTGACGGGATCTGCGGAACAATAAAAATTTGGCAGATTTCCAAGCAAGCACAGCGAAACGAGGACCAACATAATCGAACAATTAGTTAAGGCTTCTATCTGTATTGCAGTTATCGCGGCTCGAGGAAGTGGAGGGAGTGAAGGAGAGTGGGTGAAGGGGGAGGGAGGGAGGGCTGTGTGGGTGGTGGCGGCAGCGGGGCGGGCTTGGTTGGCTTAACGGGGGGGTGAGAAGGGGGAAATTGGTGGGGAAGTGCAGGGTGGAGGGAAGAGGGGCTAGGCCGCATCGCTTCTCGAGTCTCGTGGTGCGCTACGGTGCGGCGCGGTTGAATAGCAGCACTAGGCAGAACGGACGGTGGGAAGGAAGCCCCCCTCGGACCACCAACCAGCGGAGACCCCTCAGGGGAATCCAGGGGCAGTGGCGGAAATCCGCGACAGTGACGGTTCCCCCTCGTGCTGTGCACCATGGCCCAACGAATGAGATCAGTCCGCCGATATGATCCATGTGGCCCAAATAAGGCGGTGTGACAGGTGTGGGACGCACACTGGTTAGAGTTGCGTAACACAGCTGGGATCGAAATCCATCCAATGAAGGACCAGTCGGAGTTCTGAGGACTGACAGCATGCCACGTCAACAACCGTCATGAGATTCGACCCATCGCGAGACCACACGTGTTACATCTGACGTCAAACTTTCTCCAGTTCATACAAGCCCACACATGTTGAGATACAGTTTAGTGATTGTAAGGAAATGATATTTCCTGATCACGGGTTCTAGTTAGTAAGACGTACACTGCTATAACGGGGTTGCCACAAGCACTGCCACAAAATTCAAATCGCGACACCCAAATGTGGTCTGTCAAACATATATTGATATGTTATAGGCTAGATGGGCAGGGCTCTCGCTAGGCTCTAGGCACTTTCTAAAAAAATTTCATTGTCTAAAAAATCAGACGAATCGTAGTGCGGTTTCTAAAATTTCAGAAGTTCATAATTTCAATTTCTATGCTAACCTACAAGGGCCATATTAGCCTCCACGTCCCAATATTTGAGAACGTTTCCTAGTGCCCGAGGTCATTGAGCAGCTTGGGCGTGCACGAAAGAAGGTACGGGGGTTCAATGTCGCGAGAGGTTCTGATTGGTGGGATGACTGCCAACGCGATGAATCAGGCCTGCGGGGGCGGAAAAGGGGGGGGGGGGGGGGGGGGGCTATCGAGAACCCTGGCGGGGGGGAGGTCAGGCAGGGGATTGAAATTGAAGGGGGGCGGCGTGAGGCAAGGCCCTCGCAAGTTGCGTTCACGCACATTGTTTGGCGAGGGTCAGCTAGAGGTGATCCCCCTCCCCCACACCAATCAGCTAAGGGTCAACTAGCGCCCTCAAACAGACTGCAGCACGCATCGGGTTGTGAGGGCGCTAATTGGGCCTTAGTCAAAATTTCTACATGAGGCGAAAATTTTGGTGAAGTCCCTGTTGGCGCCACTCACACACCCCTCACGCAGGTATCGGGTGGTGATTTTGTCGAAGGACCAATCAAGATCCTCATGCAACCTACAGAGATCTGTTTCAGATGATTGATTTCGCTAAGTCTGTAATATCAGAAGGATGCGTACACCCATTCTGAAATATCAGAAGGATACAAAATCACTTTCTAGGGCATCAGAAATTCAATAATTGGGTTTCTAAAAAATCAGATGAACGCCTAAAAACAAGTCTGAAAATCAGACAAACAGACGGATTTTGTCTGATGTCGAGGACCCTGTAGATGGGTGCAGGGCTATAGAGACTACAACCCCTTAGACAAAACTCCCTTGTATCTCCATTCGAACAAACCTGTTACTCTGACATGGTATCACGCTAGTAGGTTAGGATCCCGCCAACCTGCGCTTCCGCCCTAGTCGTAACCGTAGCCCGCTGGCCCCCGACGCCCGTAGCCCGCTAACCGCCCGTCGCCCGCTGGCCGCCAGTCGACTGAAGCCGCTGGCCGCCTATCGCCGCTGGCCACCTGTCGCCGCTGGCCTCCCGTCACCGCCACCCGCCCACTGCCGCCAGCCGCCAGCCGCCCGCTGCCGCCAGCTGCCCCCTGCCGCCAACCGCCAGTAACCGCTGGCCGCTTGTCGCTGCCAGCCGCCCGCTGTCGCTAGCCGCCCGTCCCTGCTGGCCGCCCGCTGCCATCAACCGCTGCCCGTCGCCGCTCGCTGCCCGCTGCCGCCAGCCGCGTGCCCCTGCTGGCCGCCCGTTGCCGCCAGCCCGCCCGCCGCTGCTGGCTCGCCTGTAGCCGCCAGCCGACCTTGGCTCCTCCTATAATTCGACGCTCTCACCGGCTGCCTCCACCACACTCCGCTCTCCACCGCACTCGAGCGCTCTCCACAGCACTCCACCGCACTCCACCGTGCTCCACCGCTCTCCACCGCACTCCATCGCCCTCCACCGCTCTCCGCTGCCCTCCTCCTCCTTTCCTCCTTCCCTTGTCAGCGGCAGTCAGCTGCTGCAACCGTGGTGATGGCGGACTCTCTGCTCCGCCTGAACGCGGAGGGTTGCGCCGTTGAGTTTGAGGAGTGGCTCGTCGACCTCCACTGCCAGCTGACCGCGCAGAGCCAGGACGGCCACTCCCTGGCCGTCCATGTCTCCCTAAGCTCCCTCGCCCCACCCCGCCTTCTGCCCTCCCTGACGCCCCCACGTCTGCTGAGCATGAGGCTTTTGTCGCTGCTGAGCTTGCCTGCGCTGTCTGGGATTCGCGTGATGCCGTTGCTCAGCTTGCCATTAGCCACACCCTCTCCCTGTCTGAGCGTCCCCACTTTAGCGCAGTAGCAAATGCCAAGAAATACTTAGATGTCGTCATCGCGCGCTATTTCACCCCTGCATCTGCCTCTGCCGGCCGCCTAAACCTCCCCATGCTGTTCCCTGACCTTGCGTCCTTCCCTACTATCGCTGACCTTGCCACTCACCTCCGAGCACCGGCGAATAGATACCGCGCCGCAAGCACTAAGGCACAGCTCACTGCATTTCCGCCGCCGCTTTGTGCGACCCTTTTACCTCATTGCCACGCGCCTGCCTGACTGACTAGCCACTTCCCGCGACCACTTCCTTAGTCTACACCCATGTGACCTCACTCTGCCTGCCTTTGTCAACGCCTTGTCAGCGATTGAGACCTGCCAGCGCACTATCGCTTAGTCAAGCAGTACTGCACCGGTCCCTATCTTCTGGGACTGTGCTCCTTCCAAGTCCACTTAATTTGACGTTTCCGCCCCCCCCCCCGCAGCACCATCAACAACCGTCTCGGTCACACTGCCTCCCACTGCTACCACTGCCTCGACGACCTCTACCGTCTCCGCTTTGGTCCCACCTCGGACCCTCCTAACTGGTACGCCCTGGCCCGCCGCCGTGTGCCTCTCTTTGAGCTTGATGTGGATCAGGACTGCTATGTATGCCATGTATGCTGATGAATCTCGTGTGACCGGATCTTATTATCCGGTGCTGCCTAGTGTACGTGTGCCTGCTGCGTTGGCCGTAGGACCTCCTGCCTTGTTCATCTTAGGCTCTACGCTAGCCCCTCCGCCGGCCAACGCTAATGCTTCGCTCTCCTTCACGCTCGACTCTGGGGCATCTGCCTACTTCTTTAGCGACCAAACTGCGCTCACGCCGCTTGCTGCCCCTGCCGCTGTAGCGCCTGCTGACCCCTCATCGGGTCTGGTAGTCGCACGTAGCTCCACTACCCTTCCCTGTCCGGCGGTCCCCTCGAGCTCTCTTATAGGCTTGCACATCCCCTCATTCTCCAGGTTCCTAGTCGGTGTCGGCTGTCTTCAGGACCTTGGCGTCACCACTACAATCCCTGAACACGAGCAGTACGCTATCTGTACCGAGGCCGCCACTGGTGCCCCTCTTACCACGTTCCCTCGGGAACCCGTGTTTGACCCGTTCACGCTGGACACCGCGTTCCCCCCAGTGGGAGCATCCCCCCTGGTCGCCGCGTCCTCTCAGATAGCTACTGTCTGTTCGTGACGGTTGCTCACCCACCCTTCACTGCTGTGGCACCACCACCAAGGTCACCCCGCACTCCCGGTCTGCGTTATATGTCCCATTACGGGCTTGTCCATGGTCTCCCTGCGTCGCTCCCTACCCTCCCTCCCTCGCCTGCGCTGCCGTGCACGCCCTATGTCGAGGGCCGGCTATGATGTGCTCCCCACTCCTCCTCGCTCCCCCCTACCACTGCACCACTCCAGACCCTGCACCTGGACGTTTGGGGTCCTGCCGCCATCCCTGGGCCGCTACTTTCTAGTCCTTGTCGACGACTTTACGCTCTACACCATGGTGTTCCCCTTCGAGTGGAAGGCCGACGTGCCTGACGTTCTTATCTCGTAGGTCGTAGCTACACGAGTGCGCCGCGGCCTCACCATGCTGTGTCTCCACTCCGACTGTCGCTGCGAGTTCGCCTCCGATCGGCTTGGCCAGTTCTGTCGTGCGCAGGGCATCACCCAGCCGTACACCTTGCTAGAATCCCCACAGCAGAATGGGATCGCTGAGCGAGACATCGGTTTGGTCATGGAGGTGGCTCGTACCTCCACGATCCATGACGGTGCACCCCATTTTCTGTGGCTGTTCGATGTTTGCTACGCCACTCACCAGCTTATCCTATGGCCACACTCCCAGCGGCCACATGTTTCACCGACCCTTCTCCGGACCGGGTTCCCCGGTGACACGTCTGCGTTCCACGTCTGGGGCTCCCTTGCTCACGTTCGTGCCTCTGGTACGGACAAGCTCACTGCCCGCACCGTCCCTTGTGTCTTCCTTGGTTTCCCCCTTGACGCGTCTAGCTGGCACTTTTACCATCCGCCGTCTCACCGTTCTGTCACTCCCACGACGTCACTTTTGACGAGTTCGTCTCCTTCTACACCTTCCTATAGAGTATATTGATTGTAAGGAAATGATATTTCCAGATCACATGTTTTAGTTAGTTAGACGCACTCTGCTATAACAAGGTTGCCACACAGCACTGCCATGAAATTCCAATCGCGACACCCAAATGTGGTCTCCTGACGAGCTGCATGCATTTGGCCCTCCTGACGAAGGAATAAATAGTTGGGTATTGTACTCTCTAAGAGCACGAACCCTTCTACCCTATAACTGCTACATATGCTACACCCCCTTAGCTAGACAAGGGGCAGTGCCTAGCGAGAGACATGCAGCTCAGGGCCGCACTGTCGACGGTAATATCCCCTGCCCTGATCTTCTCTGACGCCCTCATGCCCGCTGAGCGTGAGGCCTTTGTAGCTGCTGACCTCGCCCGCTCTGTCTGGGAGTCGCGCGACGAAGTTGCACAGCTTGCGATCAGTCGCGCCCTCCCCCTGTTCGAGCGTCCCCACTTTGAGATGGTAGAGACTGCGAAGGAATTCTTAGATGTTGTCATTGCACGCTACTCCTCTCCTTCCTTCGCCTCTGCCAGCCGTTTCCTGCTCCACCTGCTCTTTTTTTATCTTGCGTCCTTCCCCACTGTCGCAGACAAGGCCACTAACCTGCGCATGCTTGAGGCTCTCTACCGCGATGCTAGAACTGAGGCCAAGCTCACTATAGTGCCTCCCCCCATCGGCGCTACTCTCTACTTCGTTGCCACGCGCCTTCCCGACCGCCTGGCCAGTGCCAGCAACCACTTCATAGGTCTTCACCCTGCCGACCACACCGTAACCGAGTTCGTCACCACCCTGTATGCGATAGAGACCCGCCAGCATGCTACAGTATCGCTTAGTCTAGCGATACTACGGCCGTCCATATATTACAGAGGTATGCTCCTTCCCAGTGCACTTACTCTGACGTGTCTACGCTGTCGCTAAGACAGCCCCTGCTGCCAAGACCGCCGTGGCGGCTTCAGCGCACGCGTGTCAGGGTAGGGGCCACC